TTATGTGAGTAACATTGGATATGGTATGTGATGTCAGTAATGATGGGTATCAAAAGTGTGTAATGATGGATGCAGTATGTGAGTAATGATGGATACGGTATGTGAGTAATGCTGGATACAGTATGTGAGTAATGCTGGATACAGTATGTGAGTAATGTTGATACAGTAGGTGAGTAATGATGGATACAGTAGGTGAGTAATGATGGATACATTATGTGAGTAACGTTGGATATGGTATGTGATGTCAGTAATGATGGATATCAAAAGTGAGTAATGATGGATACATTATATGAGTAATGATGGATGCAGTATGTGAGTAATGATGGATAAAGTATGTGAGTAATGCTGGATACAGTATGAGAGTAATGATGGATAAAGTACACGAGTAATGATGGATACAGTATGTGAGTAATGATGGATACAGTATGTGAGTAATGATGGATACAGTATGTGAGTAATGATGGATATAGTATGTGAGTAATGATGGATACAGTATATGAGTAATGCTGGATACAGTATGTGAGTAATAATGAATACAGTATGTGAGTAATAATGGATACAGTATGTGAGTAATGATGGATATAGTATGTGACTAATGTTGGATACAGTATGTAAGAAATATTGGATACAGTATGTTGATAATGTTGGATACAGTATGTTGATAATGTTGGATACAGTATGTAACTAATGTTGGATACAGTATGTTGATAATGTTGGATACACTATGTTGCTAATGTTGGATACACTATGCGTGTAATGTTGGATACAGTATGTGAGTAATGATGGATACATTATGTGAGTAATGTTGGATACAGTATGTGAGTAATAATGGATACAGTATGTGAGTAATAATGGATACAGTATGTGAGTAATGATGGATACAGTATGTGAGTAATGCTGGATACAGATGTGACTAATGTTTTATACAGTATGTGAGTAATGTTGGATACAGTATGCGAGTAATGTTGGATACAGTATGTGAGTAATGATGAATACATTATGTGAGTAATGTTGGATACAGTATGTGAGTAATGTTGGATACAGTATGTAAGTAATAATGGATACAGTATGTGAGTAATGATGGATACAGTATATGAGTAATGATGAATACAGTTTGTGAGTAATGATGTATATAGTTTGTGACTAATGTTGGATATAGTAGGTGAGTAACAATGAATACAGTATGTGAATAATTTTGGATACAGTATGTAACTAATGTTGGATACAGTATGTAACTAATGTTGGATACAGTATGTGACTAATGTTGGATACAGTATATATTATGTTGAATACAGTATGTGAGTAATGTTGGATACAGTATGTTGATAATGTTGGATACAGTATGTGACTAATGTTGGATACAGTATGTGACTAATGTTGGATACAGTATGTTGATAATGTTGGAAACAGTATGTTGATAATGTTGGATACAGTATGCGTGTAGTATAGTATTGATGGATACATTATGTGAGTAACGTTGGATATGGTATGTGATGTCAGTAATGATGGATATCAAAAGTGAGTAATGATGGATGCAGTATGTGAGTAATGATGGATACAGTATGTGAGTAATAATGGATACAGTATGTGAGTAATACTGGATACAGTATGTGGCTAATGTTGGATACAGTATGCGTGTAATGTTGGATACATTATGTGAGTAATGTTGGATACATTATGTGAGTAATGATGGATACAGTATGTGAGTAATGTTGTATACAGTATGTGAGTAATAATGAATACAGTATGTGAGTAATGTTGTATACAGTATGTGAGTAATAATGAATACAGTATGTGAGTAATAATGGATACAGTATGCGAGTAATGATGGATATAGTATGTGACTAATGTTGGATATAGTAGGTGAGTAACAATGAATACAGTATGTGAATAATTTTGGATACAGTATGTGAGTAATGATGGATACAGAAAGTGAGTAATGCTGGATACAGTGAGTGTGTGTGTAATGTTGGATACATTATGTGAGTAATGTTGGATACAGTATGTGAGTAATGATGGATACAGTATGTGAGTAATGTTGGATACAGTAGGTGAGTAACAAAGAATACAGTATGTGAATAATTTTGGATACAGTATGTGAGTAATGCTGGATACAGTATGTGAGTAATGTTGATACAGTAGGTGAGTAACTATGGATACAGTATGTAAATAATGTTGGACACAGTATGTGAATAATGTTGGGTACAGTAATGTTGGATATGGTAAGTAACTATAGTTGGATACAACAAGGTTACTCAGTCTTACCTCTAAGTCTACCAATATACTGTCGTGGCAAGGGAAGAATGTCAGGCCCTTCATCGTCCAGATCAGAATCTCCTAATATACATAAAGTCAGTGTCAAATTACCAGGAAATGAAAAGAGTCTGATAATGTGTCATTCACATGTTTGTTCATTTCTTTCAGTTTGTTAATTCATTAATTTACTTTTTCCATCAGTTATTACTCAGATTAATCATTAAGTAATTACATCAGAAGTAAGACTGATGCAATTACAGACAAACAGAAATTCATAGATTACAACACTAAACAAAAATTTCAAACTCACTCATGCTTGAGTTGGAGAATTGACAATTAGAGAATTGAAAATATCAACACAAAATGAACAAATCTGAGAGTGGTCCACATGTAGTACCCATATATATATACCGTATTTATCCGGGTAAGCGCCCATGCCTGGGCAAACGCCCACCCCCCAATTTTGATACAATAAAGAGATTAAGGTCATGTCCGGGCATACGCCCAGGGAGTCTTTTTCTACACTTGTAATAAAAAAGAATTAAACAAGCAGCCTATCGGCTGAGATAGCTCTGCTGTTAGCAATGCACATTTCAATCAAAGAACAGAAGATATCATAGGAAAATGAACAATATGTATAGTATCAAAGCAACCTGACCTGTTTTCAACAAGAATTCAAAAATATCACTTTTCACCAAAGTGACAAAAATAATCATCAAAGTTTTTAACAATAAGTCGAAAATATCAGTTAGCAAAAATTGCAAAAATATTCATCAATTCCAACAGATCGTACTTCGACATTGATATTTCACTTCCGCATTGCGTTACCGGAAAGTCTTCGGAAATTTCCGAAGAATTGCCTCGATACAACACAGCATTCTGATTGGTTAATAACCAACTTGACCCATTAGGTCAAAGGACGCTGCTGCAAGTCAAATCTGCAAATGCATCATGGCGGAAATTGATTTTCATCGTGAGTTTGCGTACGGTCCAACACCTTCGTCAGTGGAGATAATGATGAGAATTTTGACTGTGTTCCAACAGACTAATATTTTTAATCTCGTAAATTTGGGTGGTACATAATTAATATTGTAATAAAATGTGCATATTTTTTGTGATCATTTCTGTTTCTTCATTGTAAAAATCAATGACGAGGTAACTAATTTCGTAATTTGATTTTCCCTCAAAGATTATTTTTATTTGCACTTTTTTTCGAGAGGGGTGCTCGGGTAAGCGCCCACCCCTAAAAATCTTGATTTTCTGAGTTGAGGCCCCTGGGCGCTAACACGGCCGAGCACGGCAGATGCTGAATGTTTCAGTTTGTGGGAATGGTTCTTCTTTCAGAATTAATATCGAGCAATAACAATTGCAATGTTATAGTGTAATAACTGGGCAATTAAAATGATATGCAGTTGCTAACAATAATGACTCATTGTGAAACTTTGTTTTAATTTACAAGTGTATCCATGTTTACAAGGCTTTCAAGTTCAGTCTCACAATATGTCGCACAGAAAAATAATCACAAAGATGAAAATAATTTCTTTATTCAATCAATAATTAGTTATTATTGAGTCATCTAAATAATATGCAATTCTGCAGACTTGGTGATAAGTATCAGATGTAGTTGTTGCTAAGGTTATGTATACCACTTCTGGTGAATTGTCGTACAATACAAATA